GCTTATTGATCGGTACAGCTTCGACACGTGTCGGTTTTTTCCACAAAGCTCTGGGGATAAGAAAATCTGATTGGACCTTGGACAGATATAAATACATCGATGAAATGTATCAATGAATATTCAAATTTTACCGAGTTAAATTCCTTTAGTTACATTACAGGAACATTTACAATTTACACAAGGCAAAAATCGTTCTTATGTATCAAATTGTATAAAATGGTGAATGGTTATCATCACTGACGTCACTAGCTGCAGACATAACAGGCTTACTGTTAAAAGTAATATATAGATTATCATGTGTGCTTTATATTTAAAAAAAAGTATAGTAACAGCCCATATATGTCCCGCTGCTGGGTAAAGGCCTCCTCTGTACATTAGGGCATACCACCACGCGGCCTCACTGCGGATTGGCAGACTTCACATATCTTCGAAATATTTTTTTCATTGTTGCAGATTCCCTCACGATGTTTTCCTTCATCGCCGAGCTCGTCATAAATTGGCACTTAAAATTAGCTATCGTATTACTGAACTCATGTTTGTACTCAGTTTGCTCAAGTGTATTGAATTAAAAGCGATCGTCCAGAAAATGAACTATCACGGAACTGCTTTATATTAAGCAAAAAAAAGTGGTTGTTTTGTTTAAAGTTTAAGCCTAATTTACCTGCATTCCTTTAACATTTTTATATAACAGCAATTTCAAGCCTTAAAACCTGAAAGGATAGGTATTACTTAGCAATGCTACTATATAAGCATTCTAGTTATAAAATTGATTTATAGCTTAGTCTATCATTATATATTATTATCGTTTTACTATTTAAAATATGTTTTCCTCTTCCACTTACCTCTTCGGTTCCACATATCCCAAACGAGATTTAACGTAAATTTCCTATTGATATAAAACGGAGTTATTTCTAAACATATTTTTTCATTTAAATTTACATTTATTATTTAAGCGACTTACCATACACATTTAATCAATTTAATTCGCGTGGGTACATGCCATTTAAATATTCTTCTTTTCACTGGTAAGAAGGCATTGGAAGCTTTCAAGACATTCTTGATAAATAGATTGTATACCTGCCACAAATACAGGGCGTGAAAAAAAAATGGATCTTTTTACTTTTATTTTATCTTGTTCTCTTTTTGCTATTATACAATTATCAGACTTTAAATCACTCGATATATGTTTTCGATTTAACAGATTAAAAATATAAGCAATCTCTGAATCTTGATTAAAACGGAAACAAAATACTTGCTGTGATAATATAGTGGCGGAACGTGGAGTTTTTTGTGTGCAAGTCTTAAGAATAGTGATTTCATGTCGGATCGCTTGCATTCTTTGCTTCGCTTGTAATAACTTTTTTATTTCATACTAGCGACCCGCCCCGGCTTCGCACGGGTGCAATGTATTAAACATATAAACCTTCCTCTTGAATCACTCTATTTAGTAAAAAAAACCGCATCAAGATCCGTTGCGTAGTTTTAAAAATCTAAGCGCACATAGACAGCGGGACGACTTTGTTTTCTACTATGTAGTGATTCCGAGCAAAGACACATTTACATTTCAAGTGACATGTTACCACACTTCCCGGAACCACTAACACTTAAACTTTATGGTATGGTATTAAAGTTCAAATTGACTTTTAAGTATTATAGCGAATCTTTTGTACGGGAATATAGAAAAGACAACAGTTTTTAGACTTTTTCAGGCCATTTTTTTAAATATTTCTCTCTGTAACAACCATCTTCCTACTTCAAGGAATATTATAAAAAAGGAATTAGCCAAATCGGTCCAGCCGTTCACGCATGATGGCGTGACCAAGGGAAATAGGGACTCATTTTTATATATATAGAAGATATTGCGGCAGAGTTATTTTAATATCAGGCCCAAGCCTACTCCGCGGGCTCGACTACATCTTATCGATAAACTCGTTGTGTACGATTTTGATCGCGCAGTGAGGTCATGGGGCTGAGCTGATTCGTAAGCCAGAAGACGCGGGTTCGATCCCACAGCGCCGAAAGTTTTTCTTCATTTTTCTACAGAATATTACAATTTAAAGTTTCATCTTGAGTGCAGAGACGAGCACTAAAAAGAGAAATGAGAAAAAATTTAAGAGCAATGGCGAAATCTCTCGTTACAAATATTCAAAGTTGAATGTTATTTGTAAGGTGTTGTATGCTGTAAAGGATGCTCACTAGATGGTGCTCAGTATTGGTAAAAATGAAATAGAACGAAGTTAGATAGATGACAAGATTTTCGCGCCGAATTAAATAAAAAATTTGAATTTATTGGCCGCTTAGCTAAGTTGGTTAAGCGTCTGGGCGCGAAACCTGAAGACGCAGAATCTAATCCAGCAGCGCCGAAAGATTTTGTTCATTTATCTACAAAATATCACAAATTAAAGTTTTATCTTGAGTGCAGGGACTAAAAATCAAAATTTACAAAACTTTTTAGTATAATGTTAAATTCAGTCATAAAATTAAAAAAAAAAAAAAAAAAAAAACTTCCCTTGTTTTTGCACAATTGCTTTCTTTCGCGATTAAATATGAAATGGTCCGTGTTGATATGAAACTTTTTAACGAGTACACTGGATTAATATTCCTTTTTCTAATTTCAAGTCCGACGGCAAAATATGCTCTTTTTACGCTAGCCACTGCTAAACACATGAGGGTATTAGACTTATTAATTTAAACTTTACTTTTACTGAGAAACTTTAAGACATGACAAATGACAACCGTTTTAGCCATCTCACCCGGAACGGCACCTGCAAACGATGTCGCAACGATTTATCTCCGTAAATTCAACAGGTACGGCACCCTCTATCACGTGGTAACCCATAAGATTGCCACGTGATAACAGTTATAAGCCAGTGAATACTGCATTATATGAATATTTTTGCGAAGCATTGGTCATGGCGTACTTAACATGTCAAAGTGTTCAAATTGATTGTTCAAAATACAAATTACGTCCAAGAGTTAAAAATCTATAACGGGTTCAGAACCTAAGCCATGTCCAGAAAATTAGAAATGAAATTATCTAATGCACCACTTATGAGAACCCGAGAAAAAAGCAGAAGTGAGAATGTAGTCATGCCTTTATCAAAATCTTTGTCCAAAATATGTAAGGAATTACCAATACTGTTATTAATACGGGAGCCTTACTATGAAAATTACTAATATTAATAAAAAAAGGCTAATGGATTCACGAGGGGTGACCCATTACCCTAATATAGGATTACGCAACCAAATGGCAAACGACCTATATAATTAGATACCGGCTGTTCTTATTCGACGTCGTTTCGCACGATATAGGAAGGGTTATTGATTATCTAATCTTCTAATCGGAATATAAATACATCAACAGATGTTTTATTTTAATGATGTGGATGAAATTAGTTTTCGTATCAATAAATTAATAATAAAAAAATACTATTAATTGATGTGGTAATACAGCTTAATAATTTTTAAAAGAGACTGGTCATGCTACAAAAAAAAAGAATCTCTAATTTATAATTCTTACTTTAGCATATGATACACGATTCCTGGGGTATGATTCTAGTAAACGTGATGCGTTCTCATTATGGCTTCTTCATTTTAAGCGAAAGGAGATGCCTGTGTTAATTAGTGTGTAATGTATATGGAAAATAATTTAAAGAAAAGCTTTTTTAAATTGACAAACGAAATGACGATATTGCAGATGTGGCCAAACAACCTCGATGAATGTGTTTGATGTAAGTATTGTGGAATGATATGATGATGATTGTTTGAGAGATATAAATTGCGTAAGTGTATGTCGTATCTTTCAAACAAATATTATTCATCACATATGCCATATGTTATATTGAATCCGTATTGATTGTTTTAACGTGTGGTGTAACCTCAGGCGGAGCGTAAATGTCTTTAACAAGAATTCTCGCACCAAAGGTTTAACGAGCCTTTTCATGTCAGCAGTTACTATCACATCCCCTATTTATTGCTTTGTTAGTCACCGATACTAAAACAGTAATTTTCACGACCGCTTAAACTAGAGTAGCTCTAATAAAGTTAAACAAGCCACGCGGGTAAACAAATCGGCGGTCCTTTATTTTTATGCGAATAAAAAAATGCTTAATTAAAAGCGGAATTTCCAACTATTATTACATAGTCATTTAAAACACAAAAATGTGTATGTAAAATAAATCACACAGTGTTGAAATCGCACCTAATCAAACTATACATTAGCAGGTATCGCCCCTTTTCAAAAATCTGAACTATTTTCCATCTGTTATTCATAGAACCGCTCAATATAATAATGACAAATAGTAATAGATCTGTCGAAACTTATTTAAGAAATAAAACATGTGCTAAAAATTGACATATGCTTAAAATTGTAAAAAAACGTGTTTTACGCGTATCTATGTTCACATCTCGTTATAGGTTCATTAGCAGCTCAAAGCAATTGAAATACTTGTATAGAAGAAAGTTAAATCTAAAATGACAAGGTACAATTCACTTGCTGACAAAACACGCTGAAGTGGATGCAAATAATACGACATCTCACTCCCTCTTGCTTGCTCTCCTTTTCACGCTTTCAGTACAGGCGTTGTTCATTCAGTCAGTTTCAGATGTTTCTGTGAAGTGGACGCGCCAAATCTTCCTCTGCATGACGGGAACGTGCCGGCGGGCGAGAGTTAAAATTTTATACGAACTATGTCTAGTTGAGTGGTAACGGTCTTTGAAATGAAACAGTTGTAGTTATGACGAAAAGAGATTGAAAACGCCACGTGACCCGTTTCCGAGTTGAGTTCTCTATGCTTTCGAAATTATGACGATAAATAGATTCTAAGTTTGATTTAGAAGAACAGCAGTGAAACGGGATTTAAAAATGTGATATAAACGGTGTTGCACATCAAATGAAAGTTTTACCATACGAAATTTTCCATTGTAGCGTGTTTCGTTCCTATGAAATTTACTATAAGGACAGTCTTTCACCATGAAGCTGCGAAGGGGGCGCGAGTAAAATGTTGAACGAGTCATTAGCCGACTTGGATTACGGTCGGAACTTAAGTTTTAGTTTCAATTTATTCAACGAAACGCTGCACTTGGGTGCAGAACTAGATATTCTGTTCAAGCCGGAAAGTGTTCTAATTGCTCTCTACGTGCCGATCATCTTGCTGTCCCTCGTAGCAAACACTCTACTCATCGTCGTGGCAGTTAAATGCAACTACACCAAAAAGTGAGTGCCCTCCCAATTTGTACCTGGCGTTACCGAGTTCCTGTTTGTTAACACATTTTTACACGTACTAGATAACTGATAAACATACTTAAACATACTTTTTTTTCGTGAACGTATTACACATATATAAACACACAGACATCAGAAAAACACTATATTCATAACACAATATTTTTCCAGTAGTGGGGATCGAACCCACACCCTCTGGCGCAGGAGGCACGTACACTACCCGCTATGCCATTCGGACCGTCAGAGTAATAGGCCACCCATACTCTAAATGACACTCTTTATACCATCTTACTTCACTAGTTTGTTTTTTTCATAAAAAAATGACATAAAAATGTTCTATTTTCCCTTTTTAGGGTTCCGTACCTTAAAAGGTAAAAAAGGAACCCTTATAAGATCACTCTCTTGTTCGTTTGCCTGTCACCACCGATTTTATCAGTAATTCGTGGACCTAGCAAGATCAAATTTATACCAGATACTGAGTTCTATAGTCCCTATTAGTTGTATAAAATCAAGGTTCTGAGTGTATAGGATAAAAAGATATGGGCGAATTTAAATTTTCGCTAAACATGTAAGTACCAAAGTTTTTACCAGATTTTTCGCAAATAATTTTTCTCATATCTCACAATGAAATCTTAATTACTATAACTATTTCTTGAGTTTTTGCTCTCATTAGCCCATCACAATAATTGTTTGAAACCTGAAGTTTGAAAGTTTTTCATTTACATAAAAACAAGAATTCTTTTTTATAATTAAAAAATCTGGAACTAAACAATTTAAAAAATAAACAGATAATACTAGAAAATCGAATATGCGCATAATCCATCTCATAACAGTTATTTGTTTATTGTGTTATCGATAAATATTCTTATTTCTATATTAGCTTGTATTTTCAATTTGCTGAAAGAGCTTACTTCAATTCAATGCAATTCTATAATTTATTTGCCATCTAAGTGTATTACACTAGATACGTGTTACACTAGATAAGTGTATTACATTAGATACTAAAGTAAAGAAGTCACAGTAAAGAAGCGCTTATAAATTAAGATGTCGTTTCCAGGCACTGTAAATTTGTTAATGGACACTGCTCACTTTAACTAATTAAATCAAAAGCTTAATACTGATATCAATTAATGTAAATATGTTATTAAACATTTAAACAGGACATACATTTCTGTTTATTGCTTTAAAATATTTTCAGTGAGTAAAGTCGATTTTCTTCTAAATAACAATTCAATTTAGAAGTATGCTTTGCTATGTCGGTTAGATTTTTAATTTCATCGCATACATCGTCCAATTAAAGTGCGATTTTTTAAATCTACTCTTATTCTTCATAATATTATTAATAGATCTACATTATATAAGAAATCGATTTTGGAAAGTGGAACGACGTCAAGTATCGTCAGGTATTACATTATCGATGCGCCGCCTGAGCCACGCCGCAACCAGTCGAGAGCCATTATAATTCTGTTTGTTGTGTTAATTTCAATTAATTAATCGAGTACTCTTCACTCAAATATTATTATGGTTAATTGCACCGACGTTACATATCGACTATTGTTTTGGCTTTAATGGCGGAAGTATAACGTGTATATATATAACGTGTACATATATGTAGGACAGGAGATTTTAGGAATATAATAGTGCATTGTAACGATATTACGTTTTCTTAGTTTCCTTATACACTTGATTCTATTTGTGAATTAAATACAGTTATAATGTATATAGCCCGCCTGAGAAGTCAACAATAGGAACATTTGACGGTCGAATTCAATTTATCATTGTTTATGACATTATGTTACAATAAAACTGTCACTTGAAGTTATCTGTTTTTGTGTCTTTTTATTAATTTATTCATTTAGAAAAATATTGTCTACATCTGAATCTAAAGCTAAAAAAAGGAAACATATCGATCATTAAGTTATAAGCATTCTCTTCCAGTCAACTCTGGGAGTTGTGTAAATTTGACGTAGGTGCAAAACAAAACACCCATATTAGTTACCCATATAATAGTATGCGTGTTCTTATGTACAATCGTAAGAAGTTATACATCTTTAGCGTAACAAAATTATAATAACTAAAAATTGTATTCCCTGTGCCAATTCTCTTTGTTTGTGAAAAATACATGAAATGTAATAACCGTAAAAATGGTAATCGTATTTTAAAATAATAGAACAGGTACATACATTTCGGAATGATACGTCAGCGATAAGCCGATAAGCTTTTATTGAACGTCAACAAAAAATCTACCACCGGTGCACTAACCTACACATGAACAAAGAAGAATCGCCAAGAAACTCTGCGGTCTTGTTCTTTTTGTTATTTTTTTTTGTTATACAAACTTATTTAGGTACAAAATCAGCAGTAGCCAGGGGTCTTGCAAGTGCCGAGCAAGAGTCATTTCCACACATCCTTGTCCTCAATGTATTCTTGGACATTATAGTAGGCCCTTGCGTTTAAGGTAGCTTTTATAAATTGTTAGAAATAGTTTATACTTAGTTTTTTGTGAATGTTACCTATTTTATTATAAAAGTTGATGCATCTACCAAGAAACGACTTTCTAGTTTTTGCCAGTCTAAACCTCGGTACTTCCAGATTGTCACCACGGCCCCGGCGCAAGGTGATTTCTTCTATACAATATAGAAGTTTCCGGTAATTAGAAGCGGCTCGGAGTTTTGTTGGGTTAAGGTTATCACAACATAGTATAAAACAAAGTCGTCCCGCTGTCTGTCTGTCCCTGTATATGCTTAGATCTTTAAAACTACAGATAGAGTGATTCGAGAGGATGGTTGATATGTATAATACATTGTACCCGTGCGGAGCCGGGGCGGGTCGCTAGTTAAATATAAAATGATTATCTCCGGAGAGGAAACAAGTGGGAGTTGACCTCCGGTCATCCCCTTCCCCGCCGCCCTATTCCCTGAAACCTAAAGAATTTTTAGATAACATGGTTTGTCGATAAATTGACACAATAGTAATTGTTTTTGCTTTGACTGTTTCATTATTGAGGCTTTCGCACCTATAAAGTGCGAAGCAAAATATTTCTCCTTTTTTATCTGGTGAATGATACGATTGATCGCTCACTCCTATAAAAGTTGAAATTTGATAAGGTTTTTTTATTATTGCTAAAAATGCAATAGAACAAAGGTAGATAGTCATGATTTTCACGCCGTGAGGTCATCGGCCGCTTAGCTTAGCTGGTAAAGCGTCTGGGCGCGAAACTAGTAGACACAGGTTCTAATCCAGCAGCGCCGAAAGTTTTTATCTACAACAAGAGGGATATAATTAAAAAAAACTAAAAAACCCGACTGCGTTTCTGTGTATTTTTTTATTTTGATATACCCAGTGTCACTCTCATTAAATTACATTATTATTAGACCAATTTAAATGTAAAATTAAAAATCAACTAATGATTAAAGCGTATTATACCATTACGGAATATCTCGACGACGCCAATGTGTGGAGTTAATACTGTTGATACTCACGTAGGCTAGAATAAGACTATTATACCTGTATATTATATTGTACCCTGATATTTTTGAAAAAGAGCAACTGTTGACTTTCTTGCCGGTCTCTTCTCAACAGAAACCGCTTTCCGAACCGGTGGTACCTTACGAACCTATACACATAATCTTTGATGTAAAACATAACCCTCTTTCTGGCGCAGTCGGGTAAAAATTAATAATTTAAAGTATTATGTTTAAAATTAATGGAACTTTCTATTATAATGTTTATTTCCCTTTTTTGGCACAGTGTTGGTTTCATTAGCGACTAAATATAAAATGGTCCCATTTGATTTGAATCTTTTTAACCACTACGACGCGATTAGATATTGCAGATTGTATGGTTGGCGGTAATTATTTACCACAGGTGAACTGCCACAGGTTGACATCTCATTAGAAATAACTTAATAGAATCTTATTTAACATATAATATTATTCCCTGAACAACTCGAGAAAAGTCACAATTTATTGTTGTCGAAATAAGCGTCAATAAAACAGCTGGAGCTGCTGTGTCTATAATAATCATAAGAAGCGATACCGGCATATGGTCTAGTAAAACAATTAAAATGTGTCATGATAAAAAATTCTTTTACAAAAGCTATAGCTAAATTTCCCTAACCTGGGTGTCTAGTTCATTGTCTACTGAATTTTGTAAAGCACATTACACCGTTGAGGAATTTACATAACATTAAACGGTAAAGTTCTGTGTTGGGCAGTTTTGTCAGATTAATTATTCAGTACACACCGTAACGTTAGTAATCCATTGTTTAAGTTTTTTATTAAGGTTTAATGTCTTTCTTTATCACAAAGTGGTAAGTTTTTGGTTATATAATTTGCTTTTGTAATTTTAATTATAGATCTATTATTAATTACTTCATTGTAATTTATTTTAATATAGTTGATTGAATTAATTGCAGTGAACAAACCTTTATTGAAATCCCCTAGAGGCAAGTGCCAAAAGCCCTATTTGATTGTGTGTATACCATTTTAGTTGAATTGCCGATTTTTATTTTAAATAAAATTCTTTTACGGGTTTTATTCCGCCTTATTTAAATTTAAATTCCTACCGCTTAGAATATGATAGGTAGGCCGTTGTGTTTTTCTTTGCAAAGATTTTTTAAACATATAATCAAATTATTGTGACGTAAAAAAAATCTAAGTCTATACCGTAACTATGAACTCTGTTAAGTTTTCGTTGTTACACGTTGGAAATTTAAGCCTAAAGTAAATGCAATAATAAAAAAAAACTCCAGTAAAAAAATACGTAAGGGTAACGTAATTTTTAGGGTTCTCTGTCCAAAGGGTAAAACGGGACCCTATTACAAAGTTTCCGCTGTCTGTCTGTCTATCTGTCTGTCCTTCCGTCTGTCACCAGGCTGTATCTAATTTTCACAGATGATGTATTTATGTTGCCGTTATAACAACAAATACTACAAAACAGAATAAAAAATATTTAAGTGGGGCACCCATACAACAGACATGATTTAAAGA